GCAGCTCTCCGAGAGGGGTGGGATGGGCTCTTTTCCTTCTCCTCAGTCTGCCCCGGGGAGGGTCTCTAGCTGATTTTTTGGATCAGCTTCTCATCAGACAGGCAGTAGAGGCTGTTGATGGACAGGTCCGAGATGAAGTGCTCACAGGCTTTGCGGGTGATCTGTTTGCAACCTCGCAGGTCGATTAGGGTGACGTTGGAGATACGACGAAGGTAAAGCAAGGCCTGGTCCGTCAGCTTATTGCAGCCTGCGGGGAGATGAGAGGAAAAGTGAGCTTCGACAGCTCTGCAAAGCCGGAGCTGAGCTCCCATGTCCGGCGGGGAGGAGGAAGCCACTTTAGAGCAGCGAGTCCAGCCTGGGCCACCCAGAGCAGCGTACTCACCTGCCATGTTGAGCTCCGTGAGGGAGTTACGCGTGGAAGAGCCCACGGCCGTGAGGAGGTTGGCCGACTGGTCCGTAAGGTGGTTGCAGTGGCTGAGGTCGAGGCGGGAGAGCAGGGGCATATGGCGGATGATCAGCCGCAGCGTGGCATCGGTGATGTCCAGGCCGGCGAGCCGGAAATCAATCATGTTGCGGAGTTTGCTGCGATTGTCCTGACCTGTAAAGGGAGAGGAGAAGCTGAGCGCAGACTATCCGCCCTGCTGCATCTGGGCATTCCGGGTCCAGCGTTGCACCCAGGTCCCCACGACCCATGGGGATCCTCGTCAGTCACCACCGCCCCAGCCTTGCCCCATGGCAGCCTGGACAACAGCTTACTGGGTTTGTCTGTTGGAGGCGTGAGTAAGTCCCGGATCTGAGGGTCCTTGATTCCTACTGCCCACCGAAGATCGAGGGTCCTGAGAAGGGGGCAGCTGGAGGTACTGAGAGCACAGACCGCAGACCAGGAACAGCCTGCTAAGATGAGGTCTTTCAGGCCTGCCGGGAGACGGGACAGAGATAACAAGTCAGACGAGCTTGGTCAGTTCTGAGGCATCCCAGATCTCAACACCCTTTCTCCAGGCACATGAGGAAGCAGCTCCCCTCCCTGCCCAGGGTCGGACAGGGAACCGGGCTCTCTGAAGGACAGGTCACCACACAGCCACGGGACACCACATCCCCCTCGGCTGCTTGCTGGGTGACGGGATCCAGGCACCTAGGAGTCTTCCTGCTGCACCAGGGCG